GCACAGGAAAAGTGTTCGGATTGTGCTCTTTAGTCATAGGCAACTTATTGGATCAAAATGATTCAACGTACAGAGCTCAACATTTTCATAAATTTTACTGATATAAACTGTAATATTTTTATATATATTAAAAGTGTTATCATTTATTGAAAGAATAATAGTTGTTTTACAACTAGTATTTTTAGTACCACGCTTAAAAACTACATCAATAAAGATATAATTAAACCCTTATGTACAGTCCTAGTGAGAGTCATGTTGTTGTGTGGGAGAGTACTTTTATTTAAAATTGTGTTCTGTTATAAAGAAATGGTTGTTGCAAATACCACAGTTATTTTTCAAATTGTCTGAATCTTGAATACCCAAAGAGTGAAATTTTGTTATGGATTTTTGTTTGTTGTTTCATTCAATAGATGGTGCCACATTTCATAAGCTTCAATAACCACTTATGGAATTAAGACCTTATTGTATTTCAGCACAATTTTTCTTTTGGACCCTCTTCTTGTAAGTTTAAAACATACCCTAAGAATACTAAAAAGCCTTTAAACATTCAACACTTCCTCTCTGCATCAATATGTTGATGTTTAAAGACTTTTCTGTAGTTTTGATTACACACAAATACTGACACACATGCTATGCCCATTATAGTAAGATTAACTAATGAGATTGCTCTCACTAAAATTATTAACTGACTTACAGAACACTTTGTTAGATTTCTGACAAATGGTAATATCAACATTAATATTTTTCCTACACTGAAATTTATTTCTGAAAGATACTTACCTCCATCTCACAAAATAGATTTTCTTATTCATTGCTGCTCTCTATATATACACAAATTTGTTTGCTCATCACTAGCCTTGAAATTTCCACCTACACCACATTTCCACATGGTTCAGCGGTATTGTAGTATGCAAATACACATGTGACAACCCTCTACCAATAGAAGTGCAACACACTCCTGTTGCAGCTGGCTCCCTCTATACTGTAGAACTCAATCTTCACTTTGAGATTAGGCAGAAAAGAAGGGTGAGAAGTAAGTATCTATGGGAAATATATTTTCAGTGTAAGAAAACATTAAATTCTAATACAATACCTTACCTATGCTTGCAAAATAGCTAGAATCTCACATTGACCTGGTAGAGAGACCGGTACAAAATTAACCTAGATGTACACCTGTTGGAAAGCATCCAAAGAACACCCACTGAGTGTGACTTCTCTTGTTAAAGAAACACACATTCGTGGGAGACTGGACCACATCTGAACCAGGTATACTTTTTGCCCTCAATTAATGTGTTGCTAAATGGGCAACAAAGAGGCATATACAAAAATTAATCATACATGCCCAAGTATAGAGTGGATAGGGCCTGTAAGACTGTAGTCAGGAGGTCAACTACAGTTCAGACCATTCATGATTTATGCAATTGAAGGATTGGTTAGGATGGGCAAAAATCCCCTTCTGCTTTACTCATGCTAGTCCATGAGTGTATGGTCCGGAACTGACATATTTATGACACCAAACACTGCACCTACAAGCAGTCTTGCAGAATACCCCATTTCAACAATGGGCATTGTTGACCTCATTGGACACACAGTGCAGGTTTAAGAATAAGTATACTTGGACAGGCATCACTAGCCACAGAGTGGAATCCAATTTAGAAGAGGAGTGTGACCCTATAAGGAAAAAGAAAGAAATTAATAAACATACCAACTCACAGTTGAACCAATGTGTGTAGTATAATTACAGGTGTAAGGCGATATACAGATGAGGATAAAACTGTCACCAGGCAGATTTAATGAGAGGTTATTGTGTTGGGTGTGGTCCACTTGCCAACCTTGATGATTTCTCACAAATAAGGACATAGATGGACAGTCAGGGAAAGGTAAGATGCCTAATCTGATGTGATGACACCTGTAGAAGTTGGGAGAGAAGAATGAATACCAAACCTGATAACTTGACAAATCCAACCTATGAGGCTGGTGAGTGAAACATCACTTAAAGAGGAAGTGGTGACTGGATAAATAAACAGGAATGGGAACCACAAAAGGAAGGAATAGGGGATGAGAAGGGCAATGAATCAGGAAAGAATTCCAACAAAAAAACTATATAAAATGTCTCAATCTTGCCCAGATTCACATACAAAGAGATGTCAGGTCTGGGCTTAGAAGAAACAACTGGCCGCATGAAGAACCCCAACAACCATTGAAAAACCATGACCTCCACAGCCGAAAGTGTAAGGCCTGTAGCCTGAGACACAGGTTAAAATGTTGTAATATTCACCACTACTGAAGTAGTGATGGGGAAATAAAAATCAGAATTCACTGAAGTTCCAAATTAATAAACTACAGTGAGATTATCACTGTATAAAATGAAGCAAAAAACAACTTATTTGTTTAATAAATCTCATGAAAAAAAAAATTAAGTTTTTAATAGACAGAGTATGAAGTGATAAATGTAAATTACAGTAAAAGCATGAGCAAAATTTAATGGATCTTAGCACTATTGTGCCAAATTGAGAAGTGATAATTGGGTTCTACAGTATAGAGGGAGCCAGCTGTAACAGGATAGTGTGTTGCACTCCTATTAGTGGAGGGTTGTCACATGCTTATTTGCATATAAGGTTAGTGGCAAAAACAAAATACATATAGAGGGCAGCACTGAATGACAAAAGTTACTTTGTGAAAGGAGGTAAGATATCATATCAGAATAAAGATGTTTTTGCAAGCCTTATAATTAATTATTATTTCAAAATAAGAGTAAACTCTCTATAGATCCACATGGTTCTATTTTTGTATTTGAGGCATGCACATCTCACACACACTTGTGTAAAAACATTTTTAATATCTGCAGTCCAACAGAGAACTCTTTCAAGAATTTTACCTCCTGAAACTGTTTTATTAAAACTAGTTTTACTCAAAGCATAACAGTTTGTTTTCAATAAAACAAAACTCAAGTCTCTGGAATTATACATACCACAAGATGTGTTGATAGTCTCCCGAAGTTTAGAGTAGGTCCACTTAGAAAGGTCATACTTTTTATTGGCAAGCTGTTGTCTCTGTTTGACAACAGTGGAGGATCTAGAACACAGAATGTGTTGTGGAAACTTTTTAAAATCTATTTCAGTGTTTCTTGAACCAGGTTTTATCATTATTATTTTTTACTTAACTGTACTTTTGCCAGCTTCTAAATGTCTAAAAAAATTCAACGTATATCACAATTCAGTATTTAAAAAAATATATAAATCTATATTCATGCAGTTATAATAATGAAAAGTTCTTGAAACAAATGAAGTTAAAAATTCTATTTTGTATTTGATATAACAGATATGATGGATTATGTACAATGACATAGCAATAATTTTTTTTTCACTTATTTCATCTCTGTAATCTAATAAAAACAAGGGATCATATAAGATGATTAACATCAAAACACTCATTTTCAAACACTTTCAAGTTGTTTTTTCACTGACACAGAGAAATGTGATATATTTTGAATTGAATGCATATATCCAGTTGCTGTTTATTATATAAATTATCATGATTATTTGATTAAAATGTATGTGTACAATAATTAAGAGGAATTAGCATTCTTTTTCTTTTAAAAATTTTTAGTGTTAACTAGCTTACTTTAGTATTATTCCAGATAAAATTTTGTATAACTTGTTTTAGTGGTTACAACTTCAATTCCATTACTTTAGTTTCATGAAGATGTGTTTTCAGTTACTTATTACATTTTAATCTTGATTGAAATAGTAAACAAAACTTTATCTTTGTATACCTGAATATTGCCTTCTTTTAGTTGTTGACTTACTTTGAGATTTTAATCAGAAATTACTTTTAATATTACTTTAAATGTAGTTTTCATGAATTGCTGATTACAATACTATTTAGATATCATGTGCACAATAATTATATGGATAGATAAACTAGCCAACGAACCTTGGAAGAGTTGAAGTTGCTGGAACATCTTCTACAACACCATTATTATCTTGAGCCAAGCGTAAAGCCAGTTCATAGTCACGACGTTCTTGTTCTATCTGTTCCTGCCTGAAGTGTTTATAATTTCATATCTTGAATATGAATATGATTTATGTATTAAAAACAGACCTTTCTATTAATATATTTCTTCATTTTATTTTTAACCAACACAGTAACAAGCTGAGTATGATCATCATGAGTATTCACAGTTTCCAAACTCTCATATACGTGTTCCAAAAGGAGCACCTAGACATGGATTTCAATACCTCATGTACAAACAATTATTGTTAAATCAAAATGATGATTACTTTAGGGTTAGCATTAGTCTCTGTCACCAATTACTCTGCTTATATAAATAAAGTAATACAAAATAATGTTTTTTAGGGACTGGGTAATTATTTTAATTACTTATATACAACAGGCACTAAACTTTTATGAAATTTCAATTAAACACCTTTTAAAAAACTATCTAATTGTATGATTAAGCAATTCATGGACCTATTATCTAAGTCATTTTGCAAAGGTATAAAGTATCTATACACAATGTGATTATTATATCAATATTAAATTAAGAAAAGTGTAAATTAACCTTTTAGATTCTTCTTCTTGCTCTTTCTTCAATTCTGCTTCCATTGCAATCTACGAGATAAAATATCAGTCTTATAATGAAAATATGTGAATTATTCAAAGGTAATAAAACAAACTTCTCACAAAACACTAACATTATATACATAGAACTATGATAAACTCTAATACCATTTAGATAAGTGGTTATAGAATGACACTCTCATACAGGGAACAAAGACACATATAACTATTCCTTATCTCATACAAGAAATCAAGACATATATGATTTTGTTCTTTATCTCATACAAGAAATTAAAACATTTTGTTTTCAATCAAATCTATTTTGCCTCAGTTACAAGTGTGCTCTTACAGTGAAGGAATGATACAAGTGTAGATGCATTGGAAGGTCCTGGGAAAATACTGAAAATTCATACTACAATAGTGGGTATTGTAAAGTTATAATTTCCCTGAATAAAAATGTATTTCCGATAGGTACTTCCCTCTTCCCACAACTTCCAACACCTCTCTCATGCAAATCATCATGCATCACCTCTCCACCAACAGGAAAGCACTACTATCACATGATGCATGTTACTCCCTCTATGCGCTACTACTAAACTATCACTTCGAAGTTTGGCAGAAGATGCAAGCACCAAAAGATTGTGGGGAGGACGGGTAGAAAGTGTGAGTAGAGAGAGGGAGGTACCTATCGGAAATACATTTTCATTTAAGAAAATTATAATTCCGATAAGGTACTCTCTCTCAATTCACAAGGTTAGCTCGAATCCCATACTAAAATGGAGGAGGGATCAGTGCGAAATGAAAGGAACAGATCAGAGGAGGGGTACCGTACCACATCTGAGCCACGTATCTTTTCGCCAGGAACACTGACATGATCAGGAGGACCATACATGGTGTAACATTAAAGGGAGCACATGTGCATGGGAGAGGATAGTTTAGCAATGTGATCTTAAATCTTTTGCAATGGGCTCAGTATAATATACACGTTTCCACATGTTAAGTATTTATGCTATAACTTTTAATTCAGTATGTGCATCTTCACAAAATTTAGTATACCTTTAGTAAACATTACAAGTCTTTGTACACAAAAAATCAAATTCTTTAATGAAGTATTCTTATTAAAGATTTGATTGTGAATATATCGAGTCTGTTTCATTACTAGTTCAAGTGGAAATGATTTTCATGTTATGATTAAAAATACTATTCTTCATCCCAAATTTCTTTTGTATAATCTTTAAAACCTCCCAAGTACATTTCAAATATTTGTTTTCAGTAAAACTATATCTTATCAATTATTTAATGGTATACTGGAGTCTTCAGCCTGTAGACAAATCTTGAAAGTATAATGAAAAGTTTCAAAGTAGTTCTCTTATGAGTTTGAACTGCTAAACATTTCACATTTATTTTCTGTGTTTATTTTCTGTCAACGACTAAAATAGAACCCCACTGAAAATAAACCAATAAATCTCCACTTGAGTCAGTACAATGTTTATGTGACACCACTATAATATAATACTCCTGAAAGCAACAAAGTATAAGCAAATAGATAGTCGACTCGACCCGTACTCCGAGAACAGGATGTCTAATGTTATCGGATTATATAAATGTAAAAGTTTTCTTGAAAAATTCAGAGTTATCGCACTGTACTTAGAATCAGTGAAAACATTTATGCCAACAACAGGATGTGTACTTTATCGGCTTACATATGTATTCTAGTGTTCACAACAAAACTTTTCCAGAGTAACAACATTGCCTTTTAAACTTGTCAAAACTTTTATGTGGTTCGGTGCTGATACAATAAACACCGCAATTCTTTAAATAATGGTAATCGTATTGGGGTGTTTAGAATTTAGTGGCATAGGTGTACAAAGATGTTATTTGAGCACATGCTTATAAAATCCTATTTCCCTTTTCAGCACTTATTTGTCAACCAATAAAAACTCAGGTTTCAGTATTACCTATCACACTTGTTTAGTTTTGCAAGTCTTATAAATCTAGTCTTCTCTGGAAATCATTCATACTTTTGCAGCTGAAGTACAGTTTAGAAGTTCCCTTACAGTTGTGATACACGCCGAGTTCTTTCTGACATATACCTTGAAGTAAGTAATCATTATTTATAATATATACACAGAATCTCTTTTCAGTAAGCTCAGTATATAGTTGTTGATCTAAGTTCAGTGTAGCTGTTTCTGTATGTTAGGATATTGTATGCTGCTTCTGAAATCTATGAAACACATCTCGGAATATATATATATATATATATATACACATAAAGCAAATATACACAGAGAATATATATAATTTACATGTAATGGTTTTTTTTTCCTTCTAGAAATGGTTACAGTTAGTAAAGAAAAAAGTGAAGTAACTGAAAAAACTCTCTTTCTGAGGAAGAGATTCAGTTCCTCTTGGATCTTTCTTCTTCTGATGAAGAAGAAGCAATTCAGTCAGAGGAATTGGATGTTGAAGTACCTGATGCTTTAATTTTAATCCCACTGACTGAATCTGTTTACTAACCCAAATGGCCACTAAATGTTGAACCAGTTCTTCTTGACCCTGTCTTATGGACAGATCAAAATGTAGCTGGTGAAACAAACACCACCATAGGGAAAGAGGTAGAGCTAAGAGGAGTAGAGGTGGAAAGATGTTACTGTTTAGGATATCTTAGCCTACTTTGGCCTGGTTATATTATGGGCCTTAAGCCTCATCCTTCTATTTCTGACTACTTGTCTACCTACTACCCCTTTCATAATTCATACTAAAATCGTTTCTAGGGACAGGTTTTAAGCTATCCATAAACACTTACATTTTAATAACAACTCTAACACTCTTCCTAGGACAGATCCTAACCATGATAAACTTTTTAAGGTTAGACCTATTATAGATCTTCTTCTGAAGTCCTTTGTTTCTCAATGTTCTCATAACAGGGAATTGTCTGTAGATGAGCAAATGTTGGGTACAAAATCTAGGATTGGTTTCCTCCAATACCTACCAAAGAAACCATTCAAGTGGGGGATCAAGTTATGGGTCTTTTGCAGATGCTGTAAGTGGATACTATTTACAGTTCAAGATCTACACAGGCAAGGAGGGACAAATGCTAGCCAGAGGTTTATAGGATACTGTTGTTATGGATCTGACTGACAGATTTAACAGACTAGGACACTCTCTTTTCATGGACAATTTCCACACTTCCCTTTGTTTACTTGCTAAATTGTTGGCTGTTGGAACTTATGCTTGTGGGACATGTAGGGAGGACAGATTGTATTTCCCATGGGAACTGGTTACAACAACCCTACAGCAAGGAGAAGCACAATTTTTTAAATGTGGAAGTCTGACAGCAGTGAAGTGGAAGGACAAACGAGACATTTACGCCTTTTCTACTTTACACTCCAGTGCCATGACAACTATAAGAAGAAGAGAAAGGGATGCTGAGGTTACAAAACCTCAGCCAATTGTAGACTATAAAAAGTTTATGGGAGAAGTAGACCTCAATGACAAGTTTCTCAGCTACTATTCAACTGGATGAAGGTCAATAAAATGGTACAAAAAACTGTTTTTACGGCTTTTGCATTTGACCATAGTCAATGCTTTTATTCTCTACAAGACAGAGACCAATTAGCCGAAATCACCACAGAAGTTCTTCAGGATGTAGCTGGTCACTCCTCTTATTCAGCCTCTACTTCAGAGCAGACCAGGTCCTTCTGGTATTCCACTTACAACATCTGCATAGGATTCTCATCTGAGACTCACTTCTGACAGGCATTATCCAATACTTGTCAAAGAAGGTAAAAAAAAAAAAGATGCAGACTGTGCTCTACAGACAACAGGATAATCACAAAATGTACACTCTGTGATGTGTATCTTTGTATAAAACACTTTACACAATATCATACCTCTGATACTCTGCAAAGAAGTTAAGCTTTTACTTAGTACATAACCAAAACTGCTGAATTATCCTAGCTGATTTATTTTGCATGTTATAAAATAAAATAAGAAATAAATATGTTTATGATAGTTTACTAAAATATTGTTTATGTATGGGTAAAAGTGCCTGCTCTTTTCCTTTTATAAATATAGTTCTTTATTTTCCTCTAACAAATAGTTTTCTCTAAAAAATATATATATACACATATACAGATTTGCATTCATTTATAGTTTGTGTACACAACTTTATGTATGTTTGTATACAATCTGTTCAAGAATGTGAACAACTTTGTATAACTGTACATTTGTTTCATTTTTTTGAATGTATGTTGTGCGTAAATACTTGTATACATTTATATAGATGAGTTTGTACAATTGTACATTGCTTTCTTTTACTGTACATTTTTAAATGTTATGAATAAATATAAGTTGTAAAGTTTCTAATGTTTCATCATTTGCTTTTACTTTACCTCAATTTAGACAGTTAGAAAAACACAAGCTCAGTAAGCCTAGCTACATAGCCCTACAAAGTACAAATCTAACTATAATACTAATATATTGCAAACTACACTGATATTTGGCTGCCATACACTACATATATATCTACTTATAAGTGCTTAAATTTTAGTTTTCTCAAACATAGAATAATAAACGAAAACTACACAGAAAACAATGATTTCTAGTATTTATGCGAAGTTAGAGTGATAAGAATATATTTTGCCCTCGTGTGCCTTTATTGCTAAGCCTAGTTATTTTTTTCAATAGGAGGGTGAGGCAATATAATTTTTGTAGGCTTCAAATATAGATTGAAGAAAGAAAAATATATTAAATGACTCTACTAGTACACCTAAAATATCTGTAATTTGTTTAGGTTTATAAATAAAATATGTATATGTTAAAATAAATTAATCTCTGTTGGGAGCAACAACTTCTTTATCACCATTCAATAGTTTTGACAGTCTATTTTATCTTCCAAGCTCTTTACAAACAACTGTCAGAATCACGTGAAGTACAACTTGACCTTTATGTTGGTTATAAAAATACTCTTAAGAAAAGTAGGTGGAACTAAACAAAAGGTTTGGAAAGAATGGAGTCGGAGGAGGTTCGACTGGTTGATTTGATAGATA